CAACATTTGACCGCTAGTATATTCGGATTAGAATCCACTTGCCTGTTGCCTTTTTCTTCCCTTTTCCGTCTAAACAACCCGGGAAAATACACACGGGAAAAATATCGTTTCACCGCCAAGAAAAACAATTGTTTATCTTCCTTCTTTACAGCAATGGTTATCTTTACCAAAGAATATTTCCCTGATAATTTTATCACAAATTTGAAAAAAGCTCATCGTCATGTAGAAGAGATCAGTCGACTACCGAGATAAGTTGACAAAACTGATTATTTCTAGTATTCTCTAGTAAGTTACAAAATGAAGCAAACAAGATTTTTAAATATGTTAAAAATAGCTTTGAAATTCCTGCTTGCTTGATTTTGAAATTTGTTAAAGAACAGTAGAAATAATCGATTTTGTCAATCCAACGTAGGTGGCCAAATAGCCCCGGTCTTTCCTATAAAAGCAGAATTTGTTTTCTTTATAAGAATATTATAATAAAACTTTATCGAAGAAAACAATAGTTTGACTCTATGTAGTAAGCAAATCACGCGAATTTGTGTTTCAATTTAATATTTTTGATTGCTAAACTTGTCGGGATTCAGAATGTATTTTGAATAAGTTTGATGGGAGTTTGTGATGAACTTATGACAGATTTGCGAATGTACAAACTTATCAAGTACTTACGAAATACTTATGAAATGAGTAACATTCACTTGAACATATAAATGTGCCTCTCTACGGCAACTATAGGTATAGGCTAAAGGACTTCAAAGAATATTTAAAAATCCTAGATGATTCTACAGCAAAGCAGTTAACAAGCTGTCTAAATGTAATGTTGACAAATGTAATGTTGGCAAAGTTTAACTTTGAACAGCCGTTTAAAGTATACTTTCCAGACAGATATGGTCTTCTGAAGGTTCCGCTTTTGGTAGAGGTGCGCTACAATGGTATACGAACAGCTCAAAGCTAACAAATGCAAGCACTGGACCGGGGATATATAATCCAAATTGTAAAGTTAAAGTGCCTTTGGGGATTAGTGCGACCATTTATCAGACAGAGATTATAGCCATCGTATTATATTTAAAAAAAGTATGTAACGATAAATATCTTATCAGACAGTCGGGCGGCATGAAAAGCTCTGAAGTCCTAGACCTGCGAATCTAAACTTGTCTGGTATTGTCTTACTAACAGACAGCAAGAAATAAGGTATCTTTATGGAGCATACCAGGTCATGAATGAGTATCAGGAAATGAAATGACTGACAAACTAGCCAAAACTGGGGCCGAGATAACTTTTATTGGACCAGGACTCGCATTGTATGATCTTCCTAAAAGATCACGGCAAGTAAATACTTAGACAGTGGGAGAACGAAACCAAAATGAGATATTGGAGAACTTCTTCGTGTTATGTAGAAAGCTTTATCAGTATGAGAGTAAGTATGAGAGTAAAACGGAGTAAGATATTGTCAATAAAGCAGTGCTAGCCGGACTATATATATATATATATATATATATATATATATATATTAATAGAACACTGTTTGAAATTAGCAAAGCTAACGATTCACTATGTCGACTCTGTTGAGAAGAATTAGAAACGGCAAAGTATATTCTATGCAACTGTCCTGCAGCCTATTGGCGTACATTATTACATTTTGAAAAGACGACACTTAACAAAATTAAGGAAATGCATCTTAGACAAATCTTAAAGTATATAAGTAGCTTATAAATATTATGGGCGGATAAATAAGTTATGGATCTCTCTACATAAAAATGACTAGGTGTTTCACTATTTAGTGTTTTAGTGTTTCAGAATCTACTTCTTTCCAGGTAATAATAATAACAAAATTCACTCGAATGCGGTATGTATTTTTCCGTTAATGTATATATATATATATATGTGTGTGTGTGTGTGTGTGTGTTTTCGCGCTATTTTTCTCTGAAAGAAGCTTTAAATTGACATCCCGTCATGCGTTCAAAATGTTGCTCCCCAAGAGAGAGATCTTACTCGAGTCTGCCTTGTCCCGCTCGACTAGCTTCAAGTGAAAGAAATGAACGCGAAAGAAGAAGCATTGGAAGAAAATCCAATGGAATAACTCAAGTGATCAGATACAAGAAGTATTACCACGCCATCAATTGTATCCGTGGCAAAACAGCGATCGCGAAACAACGAGCGCCTTAATTATTCTTTATTATGTCGCGCACGCGCGACCATCGTCGCCGTGTCTTAAGTACTTTGTCATCGAGTGGCTTGCGCGCAACAGTCTGTCACTGTACGCGTACAGCCGGCTTAATTTACGACGCACTGTAACGGGAGAACCGCTACGGACCCGGCAAGATAAATTACTTTAGCACGGCCCAGTATAACGTATCGCCTACGTACCGAGAGAGCGAGACGTTTCTTTCGCGGCGACGCGCGAAGAATTTCGCGGAGAGAGAGCTAGAGGAAGGGAGAGAGGAGTAAATCCGCGCGAGCTGCGACGTCGGATAGTAGATACGACATCGAGCGTAATGTACTTCCCGTCGGGTCACGACGCTGCCGAGCAAAAAGAGTAACGAAATGGAGAACGACCATCCACACCCGCGAACACACACACGTGCGCATACACATGTACGCAACATCGCCTCGAATCTCTGGCACGGCTTGTCGCCGCCTGTTGCTGTACACGGATGCTTCTTCCGCGATGTTTCCGGTAAGGCGGTAGTTGTTTCAGCCGCTGCATCGGAATCAAGTAGGGTTGTCACGTCTGACCGAAAGAAACGTGTCCCTCGTAATTTCCCGTTTTTCTTTTCTCTCTCTCTCTCTCTCTCCCCCCCTTCTTCGATTTATACGACGGTGTTTCGGGCGACTTTTGCTCCTCTTACGCGATCAGAAATTCCTCGGGTGGGACGTAGAGTAACAGCCCTAGCAGCGAGATATATTTTTAAGCGCGTCTTAAAATTCAGGAGAAACGACGCTGCGAATGCGAATTTAAACTCGCCCCGGGTTCTCTCGCGCCGGGACTTCTTCCTTAGATCAATGGTGGATTAACGAGCTATTGCCCGGCCCGAGTAGTCGCCCGAGAGACTCGGAGCGCAGCTCGAGACGATTAATTTCATGGCTATCTTAACTTAGCTCGAGGAGAACTGTAAACTAAGGCGTTCCGGCGAGCGGGAGGAAGAAGAAAAAACAAGCAGCCGACGATGGTCGCGAGCTAATCGCGAGAAAATTATTGGAGCGCCGCCGAGCGTGGTAAATCGGGTATCTCTTTCGCGAGTAAATTGATTTTAATTTCGAGATATTTTTGCCCGCGTGACGTTTCTGGCTATTACATCCGGCCGATTGAACAGCTTCCGCTCGATCGCCCGCTTGAACGCGCGTTAACGCATACGTACAGTGAAACGATCATTACTCCATTGAGTAATTCTCCTTAAAAAAAAAAAGAGGAAAAGTAGAAAGGAAGAAGGAAAAAAAAAGAAAAAAGCTGTAGATCGGATCACTCGTTGATATTCAACGAGAACGTCGCGGTTTTCGTAATGAAACCGAATTCTACCTACAAGAGATTCAAACGATTTTTTTTATTCCACTTCGCGGTAAAGCGCGCTCTCTCTCTCTCTCTCTCTCTCTCTCTCTCTCTCTCTCTCTCTCTCTCTCTCTCATGTATCGGCAGCGTCGTTAACTTCTCACCGTGGCGAATAGCGGAGCGTAAGACGCGTCAAAGGCCCGCGGTGACTTGTCGTAACAGTGACGCCGACAACTCAGGTTTCTCAAAGTGGCTGCGGCGGCCTCAGCTCGTTTCACAACTCCACGTTTATTTCGTTAATGACGACAGCGTGCGCCGCGAGCAGATTAATGAGGCCGTGCCTCGCGACTGACGACGCGGCGCGTCGAATATCGACGACCGAAATACACAAGCGGACGGGCAGATGGACGGATAGTAGTAGGTGGGTACGCGATCTGTTCCTAACTCATGACGTCCGCGCCGTCGCTCGAGCCCGTGAGTTACGAGGCCTCGAAAATGGACATCGAGAGCAGCGTGCTGCGTTAACTGTCCGGAGGATCACCGTTCGGGGATGGTGATCCTCGCTGCCACCCTGTGATTCGGGAACATACGAGGCGATAGGCGCACCGATTCATCATATCGTCCGATCGACAGCTCTGATAATGCGATTGATTCGACGCACGAGACGGGAATCGACCGCTTCCAAATCAAGCGAAGCGAAGAGGTGCAAAGCTTCGGCTACCGAATTCACGACTCGATTCTCCTCGCGCAAATGTCTGTTCTCGAATCTTTAACGTCTCGATCGTATCGTGATCTGTCTGAGGTTTTCGTGTCACGAGTAGCGAATCGTAAAAGAGGTCTTTTAGCTCGACTGGGTCGCATCTTTGTCTAGGAACTGAAATGTGCTATTAAAAAATTTGCCATGTTCCTTAAAAGTCTATCGCAACATTACTAGAAACATAGCTAAATTGGAAAAAATTTACATGAGAAAAAAGCTGTAATATTCTTTTCGTATAAAGCTGAAGAGAAAAAGACTCAAGTTTTAGTGTACTACACTAGATGAATTAAGAAGAACGACTAGATATTTATTTCATGATCCTGAGGTTTCATAATCGCAATCACTTATTTATAACAAGATAATGTTATCGGGTCCTAGTGATGTAAATAAATCCAAGTGATGTAATCCTAATGATTAAAATCCTTATTATTAATAAGGCTCTGCTTGTCACATTGCGTTACAAGACTGACCAGAAGCCGGTAACTTCATTTGATGTAAGCCAGATGATTGATTGAGTTCAACCTGATCAAGACCATGAGATAAATTTCTAATCGAGTAATTGCAAAGCGCTTCATTCATTTCCCGACTAAAAATTTACCGCACGCTTTTGATCAGGTTGATCAGTTATCTGTTGTGTAAGGTGATGTTATCAGATTTTGATGAATCGTGTGACGCAGCATGGCAATTAAAGCTTTGTTAATAATAAGGATTATCAATGTATTAGGATTATGGAACAAATTTGAGACATGTCAAACTCACCTTTTTCAGATCCTTGCTGGCGTCGGCGTCTTCGGTCTTCCGCTTCTCGGTGATTTTCGGCGCGGGGACCGCGACTGCCGCCTCTCGCAATGGTTTTAGCTCAACCTGCAACGAGAACAGACGCACATTCATTATATTCCGAGAGCTTGCGCTCAGGAAAACTAACGACTATACGTGCCGACATTGACGCGACTTTAATTGCATTCTCGCAACATCACGCGTACACACTATCTGAACTCGTCGGTTCACGCAGTAAATCGCGACGGTCCGACGAGATGCCCGTCGAGCACAATACGCGCGGACAAGGCATTATCGGCTATTGTGTGCCATCTGGATGTTGGCGTCGATGTTGCCACGAAAGCACGTCGCTCCCGCCAAAGGCTTGGATGCATCGATTTATGGTAATTCGCTTAACTCGTCTCTATTTTACGCGCGCACGTTTACATTCTACATACTAATCCGGCGTTAATGGAACGAGTAAATACAGAGCAGTCCTCGCGACACAGGTTGATTTGGCGTCTGATAATTCGACACCGTTACGCCCGCCTCCGATAATGATCTTTCTCTTTCTCGCTCTCCCCCTCCTCTCTCTCTCTCTCTCTCTCTCTCTCTCTCTCTCTCTCTCTCTCTCTCTCTCTCTCTCTCTCTCTCTCTCTCTCTCTCTCTCTCTCTCTCTCTCTCTCTCTCTCTCTCTCTCTCTCTCTCTCTCTCTCTCTCTCTCTCTCTCTCTCTCTCTCTCTCTCTCTCTCTCGCTCTTTCTCTTTGCATCGATTCGACCGAAACGCGAAAGTACAGGCAAAACAAGCGGAAGGATAATCAACACGGTCTATACCGTCGGGGTCCACGGTGAGCCTTAATCGGTATTACGAATCAACAAAGCGGGGAAAAGTCCTAGATGGATAGGACCAGATCCAGAGTGCTTTCGAAAGTCTGTCTCGACGGAGCCGCGACGGCGATGGGCTCGCTGTTTTCGCGCACGTTAATATAATTTGCTTTTCTTAATTAAATTAAACGGTAACGTGAGGCATGTTCCTTCGGATTTCGCCCATTTAAAACGGGACTGCCGGTCGACGAGCGGAAAACCAAAAGATCGATGGCAGAAAGTGCAGTTAAAACGGAAAGAAAAGGAAAGGAGTACGTCGAGAGGAGGAAGTCCAGAGGAGCCGCGTACGTCCCAAAAGTGCCGCTACTCTTCCCGCACAAGTCACTGAAAATGCAGATGCGGTTCATGCAAGAGAGTTAACGCAATTACGCAACTGCGTCTCGCGATTTACATAACGTCGAATTAACAGGATTACATCGCGCGTCCTATTAGCGGCCCGTAATGCTGTCACTGAGATATCCAGATTACAGACTGCGATTTCAGCGCATTCTGCAAATAACACGAGAGACCCCGCGGAGTTCCGAAAGAGCTTCGTACCCGAATCAAAATTTTGATTTTACTTTCAGTCTCACTATTCCATTCAACACCTATTTTGACGAATTAAGCGCTTATGTTGATCCAATATTTAACATAGAACTAAAATTTCGACTCAGATAGAGGCACAGAAAGATAAGAAAGAGACAAGAGCAAAAGCTCACTACCAAGAAAATACATGTGAAAATATAAGAGAGTCGAGAGAGAGAAGCTTCGGTTTCATAGTTCTAATCAAAATATACGAGATAGAATAGCTGCAGAGACTTCAAGATCGACAAAGACACTAAAAGGGGAATAATTCCCGGTAGGGAGAGACTAGGGCTAGTTGGCTACCGAGGTAAGCTGGCAAAATCGATTACTTTTGCTATTTTCTAATAAGTACAGAATTAAGCAAGCAAAATTTTTGAACATGTCAAAGGCCTTGAAATCCTTACTTGCTCAATTCTGAAATCTGTCAAAGAGAAGTAAAAACAAACGATTTTGCCAACTTACCCCGATAGTCAACTAATCCCGGTCTCTCTAACTCGTGAAATATGCATCGATTGATACAATTCGCGGGAATCGCCCCACTATAATTGCATCGAACGGCGTATTTTAGGAGCTAAGCGCATTCAATTCGCGGAGGGCATTCCGTCGCGATATTATCGATACCGCGCGATCTATTGAATCCATCGTGCGAGCTGTTTGGCGAAATTCGCAAATAGGCGCGAGTCGGATGTAGTTTTCCGGGCGTGTATCAACACACACGCGGCCGACAAATGTTGGTGCGACTCGACGGCAGACAGGAAGGCAGGCAGGCAGGTAGGCAAGCCGGCAAGCCGGCAGGTCGGTCGGTCGGTCGGTTGGTCGATCCAACGAATAAATTACATCCGCATGACCGGCATATCGAGTCAAAAGATCGATCGCACACGCGGGTATTATTTCGCAAACGGATCGCCGCGCATTCGGCGCGAATGAGGCCTTAGGGTCGCTAGGGTCGCCCCTGACAACGCCCTTGCCTGCATTGCGGTAGCTCTTTCTCTCCACCCTACGATATCCTTCCACCATAACGCTCGAAAACGCCCTGAGAAAAGGAGCGGGCGCTTTCTCTCCCTCTCTCTTTTTATCTCTTAAGTATAATCAGTGCATTCTTCACTGAAATGCCATATTTATAACTGGTGGTTCAGTTGCAAGTATAGCACTGCAATCAGTACAATATCGCTGGAAGGATCAGTTAATAGCGGCGATTGTTACCGTTATTGACGCGGTTTGCAAACACAGACAGTGTCATTGCACGCAAGGCGCATAGAAACCGCTGATTCCATCACCACGAACGCAGATAGTTGGAGGATTCGGTGTGTAACGAGTTTGTGCCTTACACAGAGATTTGGCAATGGAATCTTATTGGTCAAGATCGATGAGAAATATACGATGGAGCAGTGAAGTGGCAGGGCCTCCATTGAAAGTCAGTGAATACTCACCGATTATCAGCGAAATACTCCTTTCTACTGATTCAACTTTTACCGACTCACTTGAAGAGAGCGAGCTCCGACGAGCTTCGAGGAGGGAATAGCAACGACATCGTTCGCGGGTCAAATCGCAAGCGTAATCCCGAAATCGCGAGATGCTCCGCGGCGAAAAAAGGGAACGTAAGAAACGACGTCGGAAAAGCGTCGCCTTTCACGTCAAGACGCGCGCAAGAGTGTTCGCTGAAGTAATTTATGTTCATCTCGGGCTCTCTCTCCGTCTGCATCTTGCGCGCGTCTCGCGCTTCGCTCGCGAAATTGGCTTAGTCCTCTCGCCGCGCGCGATTCGTCTCCCTTAAAATAGCCGAAAACGCGGCAAACGAAGAGATTCCGTGTGGTACGTGAGACGGCGGCGCGCTTACGCGTAGTATATGTGTACGTGCAAGCACACGTACACCGGTAAACGGTTCGAGACTTCCTTCCTACCCGGTAGGACGAAAAAGATGACGGATAGCTGCTCGTCGTCGCGCCAAATTTCTTACCTCCGTTAAGCTCCCGGCCGGACGGCGCGCGCCGCTTACGTTAATGATAGACTCTCCGTCTGGCGAGATTTTCATTCGATGGGAATCTTGACGGACGCCTAATTGCGAGAAGGCTCTCAAGCTTGGGAAATCGCTTTTCGCCGGACGAGCGAGAATCTTCCGGAGGGAGGGCTCGACCTAACGACGATGTAACGAGAGAGGCCGGTTGTACATTGTGCGCTCGCTATACTTATCGATTTACCCCTGGGAGACGATTCCCGAGATAAAACGACAACGTCGTTGTTGCAAGCCTCGCCTCGTGTAAACACGCACGTGTGTGTTTATGAATAAATCCGAAAGCGCGGGACACACAAGAGTCGCGACAAAAGGGGACAGCGCTTTTCTTTGGAAAACGGGCCAACCATTGGGATTCATCCATCTCGGTTACGTCACCAACGATATAATCGAGAGAGAGCAGACCGCTTCTATTCAGGATTCGCGCCGTGGCTGGAACTCAATTTATCCGTTTATCGCGCGTCCCGAATGGACGGCCGAGGTAATACACTCCGGAGTCATTAGCGGCGGTTCCCCACACTTTGTGTCCCCGTCGAAGCCGCGAATTTTTCATGAATTTCTGTAGCGCCTGGTTTCAGCCCGACTCGCCAAATTGCCACGCTTATCGACTATGCCTCGCAAAATAAGTGTGTGAGAGAAAGAGAGGGGGAGAGAGAGAGAGAGAGAGAGAGAGAGAGAGAGAGAGAGAGAGAGAGAGAGAGAGAGTTGTTTTCAAAATCGCGCGCACGGTTCCGCTCTGATATTGTTACCGTGTATATTATATTAACTATAGCGAGAGTGTATGAATATTCAGAGCGGTTGCGCGTTTCCCGCTGTACGCTGAGCTCCAAAACGGTTTTAAGACTTTTTCCAGTGCAGTGTGAAACGCTGTCGATAGTCCAATTAGAGAACTTATCTTCTGGGAATTAATAAAAAACAAGTTTTCTCGTTGGATCATCGACTGCGTTCCAAACTGCGTCGAAAAGAAGGAGTGTTCAGACCGTTTCAAAACGCGAGTACACAGTGTACTCGCGTTTGCGAAACGATTTGAACATATTTTTTTCCCGATGGATAGAGCGTACAAAGAAATTACCCGATAAAAAATTTACAAACATCTCCGATCGAAATACTGATCGAAATTTTTATATCCGATCAGGATATCCGATTAAATTTAATCGGATACTTCCGATTATAACATTTTATTAGATAAACCGACCAAAAAATTATAAACCGATATATTTTTCATCGAATGTTTGCTGACCGCGTGCAAAAATTCATTGGTATTTTAATCGGAAATATCCGTTTGTTAATTTCTTATCGAATAATTTCTCTCAGTACGTAGAAACCCTGATGAATTAGGCATCACAACTGCGCCACTGCTCATGGGCTCGCGGTAAGTAATCGGTCTTGAATACGGGAGCAGAAGTGACAGCACAAGGTATAAGTATTGGCCCTATATTATATCCTATATTATATATTATAGGTCTGTTCTTTCTAGCTGCACTGTTGCAATAAGTTAGAATGAGATAAATATATTTTATTTCACTTGAACTTATCGCACCGATGTAGCAATGCAGCTAAAAAGAACAGACCACTTGTCTCACAGATGTCCAAGGTGATAATAGCTATTGACTCAATTTGCATCTAATTTATGATCGAGCCAGCCTT